GCAGGGCTCAGTAAATGGTAATGCCATTGTGTGGCACACACAAGTCAGAGGCCGGGGCACTGATTAGCTAGGAGGCAGGAGAAAGGGGCAAGGTGGAGGACGGAGCCGGGCAAGTCAGGTCTGCAGCGACGGGGTCCCAGACTCGGGTCAACAGGGGCCAGTTTGGGAGGCGGGAGACAATGCTCTGCTTGAGCCCGATGAACATACACGTTCAGCAGGTTAAGAAGCCTGGGAAGTGCTGGTAAAACAGTACAACCGCCATTATCCTTTGTTTTGTGGAGACAGAGCCTCCCTATGTAATTCAGGCTGGCCTTGAGCTCACTGGGCAGCCATCCTCCTGCCTCAGCCTCCCAAGTGCTGGGGCTGCAGGTGTGTGCTGCCATCCCCAGCTCTCTTATCACTTACTAGGGGACTGTATGTAGGAAAGATAAATTTAAAAAGGACCTTGTTATGGTTTGTGTCTGGGTGTCCCCCCAAAGCCTCATGCGGTCATGGGGCAGGCTTTTAGAGTTTGGTTGATTATGGGTGTGAGAGCTATACCCGCCCTGGGGTGGATAGTTTGCATATGTAAGGGAGAGGAAGAGGCTGCTTGCGGCCGTTCCTCTCTTTTAGTGCTTGTTGATTCTGCTGTGTTCTGCCGCCATGAGCTGTAGCCCTCTGCCATGTGCCACTCTGCCTTGTAACCTGCCAAGTATGGACTGAAACCTCCACAAACTGTAAGCGAAATAAACCTTTCCTTCCTTAACTTTGGGTGTCAAGTATTTTGTCCCAGCAATGAGAGAAAAAGTAACCAAGACAGACCTAGAGTAAAAATAGTAAAATGAAACTAAAAATGCATTCTTTTAGCGTGAGTCAATAGTGGGGGAAAAGTAACACCACCCAGGTGGGTCACTGCCCTGGTGAGAGGGACGTCACCCCTACCGAGGACAGCAGGGTCCCCTGCACTGAGCCGCTGGCTCTTCTGGGCCACGCCACGGTGAGCCTCGGGGACACTCAGTTCTGCAGAAGCCGTCTCTGCCTGTTCGAAGGCCTGGACTCCAAGCCCTGAGCCCAGATCCCAAAATGGAACGTGCTGGACGCCACACCTGTGTCATCAGCCGGCAGAGCAGCTGTGATTCCAGGTCAGGCAGAAACCTCTCAGTCCCAGCCTTACCTGAGAGGAACGTGGCTCCACCGCGAAGCACCTACCCGGGGCCCCACGGGTCCTCGTGAGACAGCTTTGCTCTGCTGCAGCAACACACCCTGGCTGTACTGCAAGTATGTGGTGTCGATATAATTTGGATCCGTAATGTCCTGCAAATGCCCAGACAGCACCTGGGCGAAGAAAAACTGTACTGCTAAAACTTGGGTTAGATGAGACAAAACGAGCACGTCACTCGGGTCTGCGTCCTGAGAGAGCCGCTGCTCTTGCTGATTAGGCTCCCCGCAGGTCTCTTCTCCTCTTGCTTCCCTGTGGCCTTTTCTGGGCTGGCCAGCCAGCTGCGCTCTCCTGCCAGTCTCTGTGCTGGCATCTGCCAAGGTTGCATGGGTTCCCTCCCCCGAGACCTAACCAGCACTAAAAATAGCCCACGGCAGCGTGTGATGGGTTTTTGCAGTCCAGATGCGAACTCTAAAAGGGAAGGGAGAGGAGGCATTGCAGCCGTGGCTCCACACGGCGGAATTCCAGTGCTGCCGCTTGCCCGCCGCGTTCTGTGCGGATCGGGTGGCACTCGTGCGGAAGGCAGCTGGGTCTGCAGCCTCCTGCCGGCAGCCCACGCAGCCTCGGATGTTGTCGGATTCCTGTCACTGTAACAAATACCTGAGGTGTCGGGCTTCGCCTGCGCCTTCTGCCTGAGCTGTTCTCGCAGTGCCTTGGCAGACACCTGCTCTCCCTCCAGGCCCTCAGGCCATTCGCATGACCCACAGCACCGCGCCCTAAGGACGCTGAAGTCACTTCCAGAATGGTTGCAGAAACAACTCATCTTGGGGGCGGGGGGCGTGGTTAACACTCATTAGTTTTCCTGTCACAAAAGCTCAGTTTGCAGAGGAGGATGTTTTCCCAGATGGTATTTCAAATACCATCCCGTCCCTCTACAGAGAAAACAGCTTTCATGGCTACAGTCTTAACGATGGTCCAGTGCGATCATTTCCAAGAAGGGAACTGAGAGGAGATGAAAGTCAAAGGGGACCAGATTTGGTTCAGCGTGCAAACTGAATAGATGTTGAGGGCCTAAACAGAGCATTTAGAAAAAAAAAAAAAAAGCTAAGGAAGTTTTTGCATCCTTGAGGACGGTCAGCTGGGAAAGGCCAGGGATGAGAACACCAGGCTGCTGGGGGTGGAGCACCGCCCAAGGGAGCACGGGGCCGTTGGCCTTTAACCTCTTCGCTTTCCCTGGGCATGCTGAAGTCTGACCAGCTTGTGTAGCAGACCACAGCCTCGCCCTCGCCCCTACCCCGGGGAAGAACAGAGAAGTGTTGCCTGCAGGAGTTCCCCCTGGCGGCCCCATCCCCAGACCTCCCGGTGCTGGGCTTCTGTGGTGACCTTCAACGAGGGCTGGGGTCACGATGACAAAACGGAAGCTCCCAGCAGTAAAGTGACCAGGAAGTACGCAGGCAAGAGGAGAGTGGAGATAACTATTTGTTTCTCTGTAGACAGTAAAACAGGACAAAGGGGCTAGACACCAAAATAGAACTTAAGATACATTTGAAAGAGTATAGAATATCTGGATTAGCAGAGATTAATACAGATTTGCTGGGATATATGGGTGCTCCACAAGGCCATTCCAATCCACAGAGCACAGCCTCCTAGAGTGGAGACAAAAAAAGACAATGCCACCTGGTGCGGAGGCATATACCTATAATCTCAGCACTTGGGAGGCCACGGCAGGAGGATCATCGGGAGGCCAACTTGCGCTACACAGCAAGTTCAAGGCCAGCCTGAAGTACATACCAACACCTTGTCTTAAAGAAAAAGACAACACCTAACTCTGCAGAGGCAGACATGGAGGCAGCTCAGAGCTGTGCTGAGTGTAAGGCCGGCATCACCGGCACCGCCGAGAACACAGTGGTGACCTGGGCCCTGTGCTGGAGAGCGCAGCATGGACAGCCCCAGCAGTCTTGGTTCCCCGACAAGGATCCCACATACTCAAGATCAGTGCTCTGAGACCATACTTTTCTTGTTTGCAAAAAGTGCTAGGCAAAGAGCTGGAAAACCACGAGGGGCAGCACGCAAACACCTGTCCCACCTGTGTGCCCAGCGGGGATGTGGCCAGATGACTGGCCTCTTGCACTCCCCAAAACCCTCGAGAGCCTAATTGTATGAATCTTACGGGCATAGAGGTTCAAAGAACAAAATTTCTTAGTAGACTCAGAATACTGATGAGAGCTGGCTCTCGGGAACAAAATCCTCCCACCCGGTGTTATTTTAATCTCCCTCAGAGCTCAGTAGTGTTAATCCCTTATTAGAAGGGCACCATGGATACACAGTGATCATACCACAGCAGCGGCACCCGGAACTCTGGAAAGGCGGGCTGGAGATGCTGGAAGCTGGGTCCACTGCCCCTGCTCCCTGCTCCCTGGCCCTGCCCCGCCAATCTTCCTGGCCTAAGCAGCCCGACTGTATCAGCACTGAAATATGAAAAACATGTAGGGCCGGGGATATAGCTCAGTGGGGCAGTGCCTGCCTGGCAAGAGCCAGGTCCTGAGTTCAATTCCTGGTACCAAAGAAAAAAAAGGTCATGAGAAATGTGTGCACAAACCGTAAGTTTGTGGACAGCGAAGTTCTGGCACAGCCTCCATGCGGTCAGCAGGTGCTGGCCCTCATGTGGGCAGCGCTCAGCTGTAAGGCAAAAGCCTTCACTTACACAGTCAGCTATGACTAGTACACGAGCTCTGCTAGCTTCCAAACACAGGAACATGTAAAGGCCCTTTGCAATTCCGTTAGCCAGGTGGTAGGGTTTGTGTCCAGATGGTCCCCAGAGCCTCATGCAGCCAGGTTTTTGGGAAGTGGTTGTATCTGGAGCGTGTGACCGATTCTTGTAGTGCAATGCTGGGATTAAGGGTGGGTGACTGCTGGATCAGTCCACTGACTGGACTGGCACCACCCTAACCCCAGTAGAATGGATACAAAATAAGGCGCAAAAAGAGGCTTGCCTTGTGCTATCTTGTTGCTTTTGCTGTCTTCTGCCCGCTCTGAATTACTCTCTTCTGTGAAGCCGCCCTGCCTTGGAGCCAGCCAATCATGGGCTGAAACCTCTACTAACTGTGAGCTAAATAAACCTTTCCCCCTTTAACTTTGGGTGTCAGGTATTTTGTCTCAGCAGTGACAAAAAAACTAATCAAGACACCAGGCTAAGAGCATTCCCCAAGAGAAACTATCCTCCTCAACTTTTCTGGGGACCGCTGGATACTTTAGCACATTCCCACCACATGGACCATCAATGGCACAGGTATGCCTGTGCCAATGGGTAGCCTGGACTACTGGTGTACAGACGGATCTAATCATTTCTACTGGTCTCTTCCCTAATAAAAAGCCACCTTGCAGTGACACACGAATCACAGCCCTGTCCTGAATGTGTTAAAGGATGAGCAGGCATCTTGGATTTTCAAAGCAGGAGGGTGTATGTACTTGCAGGCAAAGAAACCCCCCTTCCAGTTTAGACAAACATGATAGATGTCCTCCAGGATCAGACTAGGGTGGGGGCGGGGAGGGTACCTGAAGGAAATGAACACCAGGTACCTTGTGGTACCAAACAAATCTCGCTCTCTCCCGCTCCTACCAACAGAGGCAACCCACTCCCAGGAGGTGCTTCCTGCTCTCGCGGCCCGGGGGCTGCCAATGGTCTCCACTCAGAAAATCCCTGCCTGGCAAATGAAGACTGTCACTGAGGGTAAGCTGCAAGAATAGTAAGGAAATTCCTGTAACACAGACTCCCGTTCACGTACTTATATGCAACCATTACACAAATGATGCTGCTGTTTCCGAAGGGTGCGTGCTATGCACTGGAACGTTTCCAGAAAAGTATTATCCAATTTTCAGTTTTATTTTACTTTCGAAAGAGACAAAGGAAACAGAAAAAGTGGCTAATCGCCCAACTGTGGGGTGAGCAAGTACAAAATCAGACTTCTGGATGTCAAGGCCCATCTACATTTTGTGGGAAAGACTAAGGGAGCTCACTAACTCCACTCCCACCCTACAGACCCTACGGCTCGGCTACCACAGTGCATTGGCTAAAGCGTGTGTGTAAACTACAGAGGGCCTCAACCGAACATCTACATCGTAAAAAGTGGCGGTCAGATGAGCTCATCTCGGGAGCGAAGTTCAGAACTATTGCTTGATGTCTGCGAAGCAGCTGCTGCTCCAGGCCGCCCCTCAGGCTCAGGCAGACACGTAGGGTGGCGGGGGCTCCTTGGCAGTGCCAGTCACAGTGGCATCATTGTACGGGGGCAGCAGCACCTGAGAAGAAAAGGGGAAGACGTGGTTAGTCGTTGCAGTGGACCACGCTGCGCTGGGGTTTAACTGCACCTGCACTTCTACTCCAGGGACGACTTCCCTGTAACTGGTAGCACATCCCATGCTTCAGCACACACACATCTGTGCTCCCACCACTCTCTCCGCAGGCCTCACACCTACGGCACAGGGTGACCTGTCCAGGCGTGAGAAGACTCCCAAGTGATTGTGCACGAGCGTGCACACCAACAGGCACTGCTCGTGGTGAGGCCTGTGCGGAGTGTGCAGTGGGAACCGCAGGGTCAGGAATCCGCCTGGACCCGGAGGTAGGCTAAGCCACATGTCAGCAGCGTAGACTTGGGCAAATTACCTAAGCTCAGTTCCTACCCTCGTACAGCCGGGAGATCCGAAAAGCAGAGGGCTGCACACTGAGATGGCTGGGTATCACTCAGACGGCGGCACAGGGGCAAACAGAGGCACCAGCCACGCTGACCCATAACCTCCGTGTTTACATCTCACTACAAAGAAATCACTTGCAGTTGCTGGCTGGCGTTGGCTTTCTTGGAGGACAAAACAAAACGGGGCTGGGAAGGCACAAGGTCCCGAGTTCAACTTCCATGACAAAAACAAACAAACAAAAAACACATGCAGCTCAATGGGATCATCCTGTACCCAGTGAACTAACTACATATATTATGCTCTGCCTTGTGACAGGCATGGTGGAGATGAGAGATAAATGTCTCTGCACTTAAAATTCTGAGGGAGCGAAAATCAACTAAAACCGCATCTACTTCAGAGGCTGTGTGGAAAGAAAACAGTAGCGGGCAAAACCACACTCTGTCATGTTTTCCATTATGAGGACCATTCAGACTTAAAGTTGTGAGTACAGGGATTCCATGAATTCTCCCTCCTGTCTGTCCCTGGGGCTCCCGGAGTAGCTACACTAAAGTCTTCCATCAGCATCTTACTCTCCTAAAGACAAACACAAACACAAACACAAACACACACACACACACACACTCACGGCACCCCTGGCGCCTGTAACTCAATTCCCTTCGCTACCTGCCTGTCTCTTCTTCCGGTTTTGGGGCACTGGGAGGAGGATTGAGCCCGTCTTACTTCATGGAGGGGGAGGCCTTGGCCTGTCCACAATGGTGGTGGTTCAGAAGGTGGAAACAACTAGGGCATCAGTGAGGCTGGCCCTGAAGAACCGTGCTGAGCACCGCGACACATGTCTGTGATCCCCGCTACTGGGAGCTCGAGGCAAGAAGGTTACAAGTTCGAGGCCAGCCTGGGCAAATTAGCAAGATCTACAAACTCGCACTAAAACAAATTACCTCAGAGGAAGAGCACTTGCCTGGCAGGTGCAAGGCCCTCGACTTCCTCACGAGTATCTCAAACAACAAGCAGACAACAACAGAAAACCTGTCTGGCCCAGTCAGTGTGGACAGCTGAACCAAGCAGAGGTCACACAGTAATTTGAGTGAAGAAAATTTAACAGATTATCAACAGGAGATCAGAGAGTAGGAAGCTGTATGGGATACGGCCGGAACTGACCGTGTGGCAGCCCCAGGCTGGTGGGCCCTCAGCACCTGCAGGCCGCTGCTGGCTACTGCTGGGGAAGCCTGGTGTGAGGAGTGCCCCTGCTGCTGTCCCCACTCCCAACCAGGCCTGGGGACGCTGCCAACAAGATCCAGACCCCAAGGCCAGTATGGCCGCATACACCTGTAATCCCGGCACTCTGGGAGGCTGAGGCAGGAGAACCACAAGCTTGAGCCCAGACTGCGCAAACTGGTGAAACTGTCTCAGAATGAGAAAACTTTAAAAGGGCAGGGAAGGAGCTCAGCGCAGAGGCAGGGGTTTCAATCCCTAGTACCAGAAAAAGCGTAAACTAGTGATTCCGACCCAATATAAATCCTCAAGTCATTAAAAGCTGGGGAACCAATTCCCTTCATCAAATAAGCACGAAATGCTCAAAGGAAAGAACTCCAGCCACGCTCCACTCGCAGTGGGGACCCAAGACTCACATCACCAGGCAGTCTCCTCCTGGCATGAACTCCAGAGCGCCAACCCACAGCAGCTCGACGCCACATCGCCGCTAGGCGGCCCAACTCGAGGGGTGCCCGGTGCACGCGCGTTCACTGCAGACTGACACACTCGCGCAGCTCACACAGCTCACACCTGCGCAGTGCTTACTAGTGAAAGCCGGAATGTCGCCGAGCGTGGTGGCGCACACCCGCACCCCAGCACTCAGGAGGCAGGGGCAGGAGGGTCCGTGTGAGTTCTCCAGGCGAGAGGTGGACTGACTGAGTTCTGAGGGGCCGGGAGCGAGAGCCCCACAAGCAGAGAAGGCCAAAGGCGGGGAAAGGGCAGAGACAGGCTATGCGCACTGCGGACACTCAGCGAAGCGCGGGGTCAGGCATGTCTGAAAAGTTCTAACCTCACAGGTAACGGGGAAGAACTTGCACACGACTGAGAGCTAGACCGCCGTCCGGCGCCCAAGGACACAATGTGTGCCGGAAACGTCAGCGACCCCTTTGCCCAAGGCCACACGCTTCGCTCCCCTCGTGCAGCCCAGGATCTGGCTCGAGCACGCGGATTCCCGGGCTCGCCCGCACGGTGTGCTTGTCACCAGCCCCGCTCCCTGTCCTTGTGCCTTTCCCGCCAGGTCAGCCTCTCTCACAGCACTCCACAGAGAACAGCCCAAGGCTCAAGCAGAGCTCCCTTCCAGCACGGAGATCTGAAAGAGTCCGGCCTTGGGTTCTCTCCCTCTCAATTACACTGTAAAATTACAGTCAATAGCCAGGCGTGGTGGTGCACCCCTGTAATCCTAGCACTCGGGAGGCTGAGGCAGGAGGATCCTTGTGAATTTGAGACCAGCCTGGGCTACAAAGTGAGCTCAAGGCCAGCCTGAACTGCATAGCGAGACCCTGTCTCAAAAAAAAAAGTTACAGCCAGTGAATTAGTTCTTGAAACAAAACGCACAGCAGTGACACCTATTTCTGTTCTCCACGGACAAACAGCAAGCCACAAGAGTAACAGGAAAGCAGGGGTGCAAAGAACACGGCCCTTCAAACTCAGACCCGAACTGCTTCCCTGAAGGACTTCCTGACCGTGGACGGAGATCACCCTGGGCTCCCACTCCAGCTTCACGATCTGCAGAGCGGGGTGCAGCAGGTCTTCACTCCACTCGACCTTCAGTCCCTTCCGTGAGGCAGCCTATGCGGGCTCCCACCGCCCAGGGGCTACAGACTGGACGACAGCCCAGCTGCCCACGCGGGAGCGGTTCCTGCGAGGTCAGAACACAGGCGGGGATGGGAAGGCGTTCTCCTAGGCCACGGCTGGTGGTGCCACAGGAGTGCTGGGTGCAGAGGCAAAAGCAGCCCCAGATTCTGCTGGGAAACAGGGACAACTTTCCCTGCGCGAGCAGATTCGGCCCCCTACAACTTAGATTTCCCAGCCCCATTCCCCCCCATGACACCCACCCCACAGGTTCCGTGACACTTTACTGCTTATCACCAAGGATATGGTAAGGATGGAGACAGTCACCGTGTGTGTGTGTGTGTGTGTGTGTGTGTGTGTGTGAGAGAGAGAGAGAGAGAGAGAGAGAGAGAGAGAGAGAGAGAGAGAAACTGAGCCCTGAGGAAAGGGGCTCCCATCTCCAGCAAGTTGGGGCGCACCGCCCTCCTGCGCACTTTCTCCATTTCCCACTGTGGGGGATTTTTAATTCAGTCTCTGCCCCCCCCCATGAAGGTGGGGCAGAAAGTTCCAAGCTTTACTTCCGGTCTGGTCTTAAGCAATCCTGAGCCCATTATGAGTTGCCTAATTAGAACAAAAACACATCACCCAGGAAATTCCAAGGATGTTAGGAGCTCTATGTCAGGAAACAAGAGACAAAATGATACTTTGTTAAACATCAGCTGGATGTAGATTTGTGGACAGAATAATAAATACCACATAATTAACACTTTCTCAGGAAAAAGATACCTGAAAGAACCATAAGATTAGGCAACACTGTTTGCACTGTTTGACAACTTTCTTGCAGGAGGGAAAGTTTAGCCAAGGTCTGCCCAGGCCAGAAGCTGGGCTTACTGAACTCCCTGGGTTGGTCAAAGAGCTGCCCTAGGAAACTAAGGCAGAATACAGCCGTGTGTGTGTGTGTGTGTGTGTGTGTGTGTTTAGCCTGGGCGCTCAGAATTTTTGTATTATTTAATGGTTGGGGGAAAAAATTGTTTTGTGACATGCAGAAGTGATATGAAGTTCAAGTGTTCGCATCTATGCAGTTTCAGCAGACACGGCCACGCCTTTGTTTTCCAGCACGTACAGCTGCTTTCGTGTGAGCACAGCAGTGAAACGGTCACATCTGAGACCAGGTATCTGAAAGCCTGGAGCACGGCGCATGGCGACACAACCCTATCTGGCCTTCTGTATGATGAGCCCCCTTCACCCATGTTAGAAGAAGCATCACTCACAATTCTGACCTTGAACACACCACAGCGTCAGCTGAGAAAGTGCAGGGCCCCTCAACAATCTCGTCGAGGGTCGCCAATCGTCCAAAGGTCCACTGAGATTAATCCCAAACCGCCAACTATTTTTCTTCTTTTCACCATTTGGTTTCTCTCCACAGTCCACCACATATTTTGTTTAAAACACACAAGAGTTACATTAAGTATCTGTCTTAAGCCTGTCATACCAATCTGCTATTTGGATGTGAGCTTCTGATATCCAAATCCACGACTGACCAAAATAAAGGTGTGGGTGTTGGGGACAGACAGCTCATAAAGAGAAAGGAAGTCTGGGTTTATCTTTAGGATACAGAATAACATATCTCAAAATGTTTCGATTGCCTAAACACACACCCTTCCACAAAACTGCGTTTCTACTCTCAGGTACACAGTTTTGTGCATTTTAACATCTCTGAATTTAGGCTGTGCCTTCCATTGACAGCATCTCATAACATGAGGGGCCTAAGTCGATGGCACTGTAACTCTGGCCTCCTATGTTCG